CTTCTTCAAAGGATCTCAATAAATTATTCTCCAACCAGGAGTAGACCCAGGAACATGCATGTCGCAGGGAATCTAAGCAGAATCATCTTTTCAGGAATCTGTGTGTGCTCTGGTAGCTCTAACTTTTCACTGGGAAAATAAATCAAGAATTAAAATATTTTTTTCCAGTGCATATCCTCTGTAAGAGAGATCCGTTGGCCTTAATTATAAACTGAATTGCAGCTGCAGGCAATCTTGATATTTCTTTGGGAGCTCAACTCATGAGAGATGTGGCACCATGCTGGATTTTTTGGTCTGAAAGTTTGCGATTGTTTTGGACAGTCAATAACTTAAATGAAAAAGTACGGTCTTTGTCAGGCCATTGAATAAAAAATGTGCTGCGATGCTATTTAACTGTTTATTTAACTGATGATCAGTTTTGGTGAGTGAAGTGAAAGGGAAGTGCTAACTTTATGCAGATGAACAAGAAGAAAAAAATGAAAGAGAAAGTAAGTATCAGTGAAAGATGTTTCTGGCTGCCTTTCAGTTCCAAATTGGGCTAATTCTACCTTCTGAAAAGAAGATAATTTCCATGTTTCTGTAATTGGGAACACATAATTGAAGTTATTTTCTCTCAGAGAGAAGCAGCTTTTTCTACAACATTTGCAAATGGACAAGAAAAATGACCACATACAGTACACTCTGAATGATGGTGCATTCATCACAGCATCATCTTCAGATCTCTTTGGAGATTTTGCGCTGTGGTCTTTATCCATTCGGGTAAAAATTTGTATGTGGATGGGGAAGTTTCATGTTGGTGACTGCACCTCACTAACTGCAGAGCTCCCTTTTCTGGGCAGCCATTACCTCAGAGGCAGCTGATTACCAGTGAGATCTGGAGCAGAAAACATGTGCCAGAGAAGCACTGAAACAAGTATCAACTTCATGTACCAAAATAATTATGCAGTGATTCCACACGACTGCTTCTTTTGACCTGGCTTTTTAGGAACTGAACTTTAATGAGGAAGATGAGCCAGATGTTGTTGCAGCGCTTTGAGAGTGGCACAAGCGATTAACTCACTTCCTTTCGTTTGTAGCATGAAGATATTTTCTGCCACAGGGTTTAACCCTGGGAATGCTGGCATTTTCCTAGACATCCCATTAACTAAGCATGCAGGACAGTGTGTTCTTAATGAATGCATTTGCAACATGTGTGACTGCAATTGTCATGCTCTTCCCTGAGGTTGCTCAGTATTTTATGGCAGTAGCAAAGGTTGGACTCAGGTGCTCCTGCTCCCAAAGCATGCTGGCTTTTTGCTGACCAAGGCTCTTTTCCATTTTCGTGGGTCAGTTTATCATCCCTGATGTTGCTGGGCTTATCCAGACAGAGTGATGCCCAGAGGATTTGGGAGGCCATGTTGCAATTCAGCCCCAGCTTTGACCTGTCTGTAGCTCAGAAATATATATTTGTGTGCATCAAGGCATCATGGAGAAAAGAGAATGCATGAAGATAACTGTGGTAGATTAGACAGCAAATTGGATTTCTAGACAGCCTTGATCATTGTTCAGATCAGGAGAAAATAGAGGAAGTTTAATAACAACAACACAACTCTGTTTTGTAAGGAAAGCCAAAATTGTATTTTTTTTCCCTGACCTAACAAAGGAGGAGGAAGGAAACTGTTTTGCTGAAACAAGCATTTTAGATTGGGCTAAGGTTACACTTTTCTCTCTATGTTTGTGTGCGTGCGTGTCCCAGCAAACTCAACAGCATGTTCATATGCATGAAATGCATTTTCCTGGAGGCACATAGTCAGCATGTGCCATGCGAGGAGGAGGAAGATGTGCCTAGCACTGCTTAAATGTTGGTCAAAAAGGCATAGCATTTTAGTCAAAATAAGTTAAAGCGTCTCATAACATTGTGGTTGGTATTTGTTATTTTTGCTGACATTGGGTACTGGATAAGAAATCCAGTTTGGTTTGGAAAACTGCAATGTAGATAAAATACGAGAGCAGCCTATTTATTGTGTGTGTGAGGCAACGTGGCCTCCAAAACCAGAGAAAGTCAGACAGAACTTAAAATGTGCAATTTTTGGTCTTTCATTTTAAATGGCACAGCCCAAGTCCTTACTGAAGCGGGCACGAGTGGGCCCCCTGGTTGGGAGGTGTGGGAAGCCAGCGTGGAAGAGGGGGAGAAGCTTCGCACACTGCTTGCCCAGGGTGTCCTGCCAAAGCCTGGCTGGTGGTGGCCTGCAGATGTGGTGGCTTTGGGTTGGAGAGTGGTCTGCAATGCTGAGTCTGGCCCCGGCAGGCTGTGTGCAGGGCTCAAGATGTGGGGCTCACAGCAGCCTGGCTGCAGGTTTTGTCTTTGCCTTAGAGCCCATGTGTGATGATGGGCACATCGCTTCAGCTCCGTGCATCTTGCTTCACTTTTCTGTGAATGGACAGCAGCTTGTGCCTTCTCTTTTGGTCCATTTATATTATAAGGCCCAAGGGTAAAAGCAGTGTTTCAGATTATGTGTGGACAGAGCCAGCAGAAAGGCTGGAGCATGGCGCTTCCACACATTCGTGCTGCACTGGTGATTGCTAATGGGAGAAATACAGGGATGGGGTCCATCATCAGCTTCATGCCATACTGTCTTCTCCATGCAAAGTCTCAGTCAGTGGGGGGGCAATGGTCATTCCTTTCTGCATGGAAACTGAAATAGGTTCAATAGATGGAATAATATTTTAAGAGGCTCAGTTGCCAGATTGATTTCTCAAGCTAATAAATCCTTGGCTGCACTTGCTGTGTTAAAATATATGTTCAGGCGAGATTCATGATCAGCTCTTAGGAACAAGAGAGCAAAGGAAGAAAATAGGTTGTATTAAATGGTTACATTTGGCACCTTTAATTGGCTTATTAATAAACCTTTTTTTTTAGAGTTATGCTATTTATTATTTCTAATTGAATAGTTGTCAACCAGCCTTCTAAAAACAGCCACAAAGCACTGGCCAAGGGCATCTGGGTGTGCTGGGTCAAGTACCTGGCTCTGAAACTCCTAGTTGTATGAGTGGCCTTATCCCCACCAAAATTATGTGTCCCACAGAGATGGCACTTACATGACATAGAAAGCAAATGCAAAGGCCCATGCACCATACAGGCCTGTCTCCTCATAGCAAAAATAAGTTGTGGTAACCCAAACACATCAGCGTGGTGGCATTTATACAATAGAGTGTACCGAGCTGTGTGTGGACATTCAGGATTTCCAGATGTTCAACAGCTTCCTCAGAACAACTGTTAGGCATCCAGAAATCCTGAATGAATGCACAAAATCCTTGAATATTGCTCAGAAAACAAATCCCTGAGCAGAAAAAGAAAACATCTCTGGGAAAATCTGAATGTATGGTAGGTCCAATCTATATCCTCAGTCAGGAAGGCTGCACATACAGCAAATAGACCTCGCGCAGCCCTCCAGGGAAATGCATCCAGCCTGAGGCTTATTCCAGGTGCCCTTTCTTCCAGGGGACCATGCCACCCATCTCCCTTATGCACTGCTGCTACTCTGTTAGAGAGCAACTGGCAGACAGGTAGCAGGTGCAACTGCTGTATTGTGTGTGCACGGCAAATCCAGCACTTGCAGGGAGTGCAGTCATGCTGCAGCACTAACGGGTGCAGCATCGGTGAGAGAGATCAGGTCAACAAGCAAGGAGGGTGATGGTGTATAGCTTAGCATGGGCCCTAGAAAAACAAATATGACAAGGTCAGGAACATGCAAGTGTTTGGCTTCTGGGAGTGGATGATTGAAGTATTATTGCTAAGCGCCGTTCTGAGACCTTCTCTACATTGATTGATGTCTCATTTGAAATCTCCTTCTTGCCTGAAAGAAAAAGGTGTGAAAGCATTCAGTTAATTCTCTTGCAGTGCTTTAAAGCTACTGTTCTCTGTTGAACATGACTGGCTCAATAGAGATTCATCACGTCAGATGTAGTCTCTCTAAGCCAGATAGAGGTAGCCAGTGTATTGTTTCTCCAGTGATTTTACATTTTCTTCCCATTTAAGTAGGTATGGAGCATGGAAAAATGCTTCCTTGTAGACTAATTCTCCTAAGTTTCATATCTAAGGTCCAATCCTTGATGAAGGCAGCAATGAATGAATGAAATCACTCGCTTTACTGAAATGCTGCATTTCATAAATAAGTTAGTTTTCGCATGCAAGTCTTTCAAGAAAGCAGTGCACGCAAGGAAAACTGGTGTCAGCATTTTTTAAGCCTGAAATGACCGAGTTTCTCATTATGGACACCAAGCTTAGCTTCTTCTAAGAAACTTCTAGGCATGAGACTATTTCTGTGCTTCTCAAAATATGCCTGTACTTCTGCTGTTTTCCAGGGAGAAGACTCACTGAGACAGACTGCAAATACTGTATGCCAGCTGTTAGCATATGAAGGCCAAGAGGTCTCAGTTTCTAAGCGCATATTAAAACCTTTGTATCCCTAGTACTAAAAATCTGTGGACCAGCTCCTGCTCTCACTAATGTTAACAGCAGGATTTGTGTCAAAACAAACAAGAAGAGAACATAACTAGCAGCTCGGGATTATCTGTCTTTGTCCATATACTCCACCACTGTAGGAATGATTGTTCTAGCATCTTTTATATTGCGTTGTTAAGTGATGGAAGCTTTTGCCAAATCCAAACTGAAATGCTTCCAAAGCCTTTTTCAGTGTTGGAAAATGTTTGTATCAAGTTATCCTTGGAATAATTTTCTCCTTTATTTATTATTATGTGCTACCCAGTAGACACCTAATTACGAGGCACAGAATACTTCTCATTCTAGGACGATATATAGCACTTCACTGGATGTTTTTAGGAGTCCATTTTCATTACATTAAATGAGATGTTTACTTGCGTGAATCACTTGGGTTTTAAAAAAAGCAGAAATAAGACAAAGAATGAAGTTCAACACTGAACAGCCAATAGGCTCTCTTACTGTGGGCGAATGCTTTTATACCACACCACAGACTGTTTGTCTTTTTTTTTTTTTCCAGAGTGGGTATCCAAGCTCTGGACCTGCATCAAGCACTCCTGCCTTCAGGCCTGAGGATGAGCTGGAACATCTGACCAAGAAGATGCTATATGACATGGAGAATCCTCCCTCTGATGACTACTTTGGTGAGCAGTGCCATGTCACAAGTGTCCATAGACCTTTTCTGTATTTACCAGGTTTGGTAATGGGGAGGCCTGGCAGCTGTGCTGTTAATGTAGTGACATTCATATTGATGGGTTTGCTTTCCATGCTTGGGCTGGAAGTGTAATCATCCATAGGAATTCCTCTGTAATTTCAGCATAAATCTCATGCTCACTTGCTTTATGTTTATAGTCTTTCTGGTTATAAAGTTGAATTTTTCAGTGTCTGGTTCATTTTCACACCATCTGTCCCCAGCTTCTAGGCTACCAGGCCTGAATTCAGGTGCGGTGCACTGTCTTGCCCACCTGCCCATCCATTCTCATTGCAGCTGCAAAAAGCCTGGCAGTGTAAATCTGTTCTGCTCCCAAGGCATGGATTTTCATGTTCTGTATGCTGGCATAGATTAAAAGGAAATCCATTTTGAGTCAATCAGGTTGGTTTTACACGGGGACCTGTTAACCCAGAACTGGGTCCAACAAATATGAAGAGGACAAATCTGAACTGATTGACTCGTAACCATGTCATCTTCCTTGCCTGGAAAAAGATAAGCAGCTAATTTCCTTTTTAAGTGGTATAGAATGGAGTTATCTCAGGCATCTCTAGGTGTAAATTATGTATCTTGCCTTTGTATAAAGCACAGGTGATATGGCCTCTGAACACTGCATTAAAGTCAAGAGCCTTGGGCAATTTGATGCATCTTGTCTGTATGCTTAGTTTCTTACAGGTTTGGGTGATGGTATTGTTAGGAAACAAACTGCTGTAGTTTTTAGAGTTAAACACTGGGGTAGGCCATTCATTTTGTGTTCTTTATCTTCTTTTATTTCATCATTTCTTAAAAATTTCATTTAGATTGCCCCCTAGGTCTATTTGCTATAGATTTTGGTTGGACCAAAACATTTCTGGCTTAAAGAAACTTCTGTGGTTTGGTTTAATCGGAAAGCAGGTGGGACCAAGGTTTCACTAATAAACAAGGATCTTGCGGTAACAAGGATCTGATTACCTGAGAAGGTCGAGATGTTCTCATCAAACAAACATTGCCCTTGTAGATGGGGTTGATATCAGTCCCTATTCTCCATCAGTACTTTCTACCTTCTATGGTCTCCACCCTCGTGGCTGAAATGTCTTCTCTGTAAACATCGATAGTCATCAGAGTTGATGACTAGTGCAGATCTGAGGTGTGAGCAAGAATGACTAACTGAAGAGAGGATAACCAGAGAGCATTTTCTGTGGTGCTGTGTTTGACTTCATCTCTGCCCATATCCATTTGTGTTCACTCTCTGATGTTTTAAAAGCGAAGCAACAACCAAACAAACATAACATGTATTTAGCCATTAGCGTGGGTGGGCAAGAGAGAGAAACCTTTTTCCCGCTCCCTTCAGGCAAATGGCTGAAGCCCTGAAGCATGAGATTTGATTACAGTCATTTTCTTAATGCAGAGCTGTGAGTGGCAGGAGCTGGCTGACAGACCAAAGCCCAACCAGTTCTCCTCATAGCCCAAGAAGGTAGGCAGGTAAACAAAGAACTTGGAGATTCACAGGATCCAAGGTCAGAAAGGATTTTGCCATTATACTGCCTAATGTCCTACTCTCAGTTTCTCCCAGAAACATGATTGAATCATGACTTTAAAAAAAAAAAAAATCTAATCTTATCTTAAAGACTTAAAGCAATGGTGAGTCAACCACCTACCCTGATAAGCTGTTCTAGTGATTAATTTTCCTCACAGCTCAGAAATTGCTTCCTGAAGTGGAGCTTTAGTTTTGTTCAGCACTTGTATTTACGAAGCTGAAATGCTCGGGTTTTGCAGACTAATACTGGATCACTAAGATGGCTCTGCTCTGTTTGAGAGTGTGGTACATCAAAATTTTTTCATCCAAAAGGGATGCATAGCTCAGAGGGTTGGAACATAAAGTGTCTCAACGTTAGGTCATCAATTTGGCTGTCAGATGGGAGGTCAGACCAATGCCATGCCAATAGCTCTTAATTCAGCAAGAGACAAGAAAATGGAAAGGAGGCTCCAGAGCATTCAGAAATTTTGCCAGTGTTGTTTATATAAGCACAGTAGCATGATCAAAGATGGAATAATCATGCATGATACAAGCTGGAAGATGAAAACCAAACACCAACCCTACTCCTACCTTGGGCAGTTGATGTTTAATTATAAGCTGCACCTGACTGATCTTCTAATTGCACTGAGTCTGTGCCACTGAAGTGGTGTCCAGCCTTGGCATTCTCAATGTGCAGAAGAACCATGTGTTGGGCTGAACTCCTCCTCAGCCCTCTAAGCATGCTGTGCCCCATGCAGCCATTTGGGAGACATGTCCACAACTAATTATATACCTACCAAGAAAAACATAAAACAAAACCAGCAGTTCTGGAGCAGAGCTGCTTTTTGTGGTTGGATGAAATCAAAGAGGTGGGCTGGCCTCATCCTCCTAGGTTTGTTCCAGCCCAAGCTACTCCCAGAGGAAGATGGTCTCTGGAGTCACAGTGGATGAGGTTTTTTGATATGGCAGTGCAGGCTGGGAGTTTTGTACTAATTCTGGCTATGTCAGAGCTAAATACCCATCTACTTGAGCTGTCAGCCAGTGCCTTTCAGTAACTTCATGCTCATGTGGAAAGAACAAATTAAGTGTGGGAGGGAAAAAAGAGTCTTTCAACTTTGGTTAACTGTCTCAACCAATATCTCTGCCTTTGTTCTTTATTTGTTTAGCAGGGTAGCGTGGATTGTACAAGATTCATATGGCACATTGATCAAATAATCAGAAAAAGGACAAATGGGCAGAGACATTGACTCTGATTTGCATTAAATATCTTCTGCCTGAGGTCTAAATGCCATGGTAATTGTAGCATACCAGATAGCTGTCAGCTAATCACTTTTATTAGTTTGAATTTAGAAAACTGGATTTCAGCGTATTAAAAGTTGGTTAAGCGCAGATAGGTTTTGAATTGAGGAATCTAATTAACCTTGCTAGAAAGCTGCAAGGTGTTATATTAAGTCATGAAAATAATTTGTTGGAATAATTACATTTGAACTGTCAGGCTAAAGAAAGGTCATTTTACTTGGCCCGTCAGCACTCTCAGATCTTTTCTGTAACCATCTTCCTTCTGCAATTTCAGTTGTCGTATCTCTGGTTTTTGGATCAAGCCATCTTGATTCTAGAGTCAGTGAGGGCAGAGTGGAGGTTCCTGGGGAGGGAAGAGGAGTAGGAGCCACTAAAGTTATCTCTTTGCCCTGAAAATGCGGGCTGGTACTGCTGGTAGACCAGGTGAGCTGAGTTCAGGAGCAGGGCAGCCAGCACTTCCCTCAGGTCTGTGCTCACTATACCTCTCTGCAGCTTCTCTAGGTGGAAATTACTGAAAGTGGTTTCAGAGTGTATTGGATTTGCATGGCAAGGTTTTAGTAGTGGGGGGGCTACAGGGATGGCTTCTGTGAGAAGCTGCTAGAAGCTTCCCCTGTGTCCCATAGAGCCAATGCCAGCCGGCTCCAAGATGGACCCACTGCTGGCCAAGGCCGAGCCAATCAGCAACAGTGGTAGCGCCTCTGGGATACCATAGTTAAGAAGGGAAAAAAAAAACCCAAACCAAAAAAGCAACCTGGGACACAAACTGCAGCTGGGGTGAGGAGTGAGAATATGAGAGGAACAACTCTGCAGACATTAAGGTCATTGAAGAAGGAGGGGAGGAGGTGCTCCAGGCACTGGAGCAGAGATTCCCCTGCAGCCCATGGTGAAGACCATGGTGAGGCAGGCTGTCCCCCTTGCAGCCCGTGGAGGTTAATGGCAGAGCAGATATCCACCTGCAGCCCATGGAGGACCCCACGCCGGAGCAGGTGGATGTGCCCGAAGGAGGCTGTGACGCTGCGGGAAGCCCGCACTGGAGCAGGCTCCTGGCAGGACCTGTGGACCCATGGAGAGAGAGGAGCCCAGGCTGGAGCAGGTTTGCTGGCAGAACTTGTGACCCCGCAGGCGACCCATGCTGGAGCAGTCTGCTCCTGAAGGACTGCACCCCAAGGAAGGGACCCACGCTGGAGCAGTTCATGAAGAACTGTAGCCCGTGGGAAGGACCCATGTTGGAGAAGTTCATGGAGGACTGTCTCCCATGTGTGGGACTCCATGCTGGAGCAAGGGAAGAGTGTAAGGAGTCCTCCTCTGAGAAGGAAGGAGCGGCAGAGACAACACGTGATGAACTGACCACAACTCCCATTCCCTGTCCCCCTGCGCTGCTTGGGGGAAGGAGGTAGAGAAAATCATGAGTGAAGCTGAGCCTGGGAAGAAAGGAGGGGTGGGGGGAAGGTGTTTTAAGATTTGGTTTTATTTCTCATTATCCTACACGTGTTCTCACTCCTCTCTCCTGCTCAGTTTTGATTGGTAATAAATTAAACTGATTTTCTCCAAGTCAAGTCTGTTTTGCCCATGATGGTAATTGCTGAGTGATTTCCCTGTCCTTATCTCGACCCACGAGCTTTTTCGTTATATTTTTTCTCCCCTGTCCAGTTGAGAAGGGAAGTGATAGAGTGACTCTGGTGGGCATTTGGCATCCAGCCAGGGTCAAACCATCACACAGAGTTGGGGGAGCTGTTCTAGCTAGTGATCACTCATGCAAGCACACACAGCTGGCAGCACAGCACGGTTCATACTGCGTTCCCGGGGAGCCCCGGTGCATGGTGAGCGCCAGAAGCAGCATGCTGGAAACACACTTTGGAGCAGCAAGATCACAGTTTGCAGCTGTTTGTTGCCTAGACTTACCACAGCAGCACGATTCAGTCACTGGGAAATCCTCTAGCTGCCATTGGCAAAGCAGTGCTTAAGCATGGAAATACCATCACTAAGCATAATAATTTAAAAAAACACTGTGAATTTTTAGGAGTTAAATGTGCATGCTGGGTATTCTGCCTAACTTAATTTTGTTGAAAGGCCACACTGCCATACTAAGTCTAAGCACCCTGATCTTTGGTCTATGTCCCCTCCTACCCTCCTGCAGGTTA